TTTCAAGAAAAAACCAAAATAGCAGAAACAAGAGAAAATTGCACAAATAAAATATTTATTCTGTAACACTGACGAGTATACTTACTTAAGATAGGGTTTATATCTACCATAAAATCTTAAACAATTATCATTATTATGACTAACACAAAACATTAAATGAAGTCTGTGGCAGCAGTGTTATCTGTTAATTTTTTGCAGTTGCATGTTATTTTTCTGTTCTATGATATCTGTTCCTATGTTGACTATGAAAACGATATATAAGCGCAAATAAAATTATGTTTTGATGGTTATAATGTATTTTAGCCGTGAAAGAATTCTCTATTTGATGTAATACCTATGTTCCGAACTCAAAGAGATCTTCTCACTAAAAAAAACTGTCTCAAACTTATCTGACATAGAAGCGCAAACACTAATGAATATTCATATTACCTGGGCCAATTGTCGCTTGTTCTTGGTACTGTATGGCAACAGCGATTGCTTGCCGAGGAATCCAAACTAAAGTAAAAATAAAGAAATTCTTTAGTGAAAAAAATATGACTTGCTAATAAAATTTACCGCTAATTGTTGGGCTGAAGGCAAGATGTTGACCTTAAAAAGAATTGTAGAAGAAAAAAACACGATTAAATTGATGATGGCATAGTCGAACATCGTGCTAACTCAAACTTCACATGTTTTTTATATTCTTATACAGATACCGGGTGTCCCAGAAATAGCCTACCAAAAAGAAAATCGAATATCCCCATTACGACTCGAGCAAACGTGCTGATTCTTTTACCAGTAATAGAGGCATGTACCAAGTTTATATCCATAAAGACATGCCCAGAGAAACCCTTTGTTAAGTATCACTATTGACCTCAACAAAAAAAATTTCACTCTTTCACAGATAGAAAAAATCTAGTATACTTAATAAAGGAATTATTTAGGCATGTCGTTATGAATATAAGCTTGAACGCGGCTCTATCATTGATAAAAGAATCAGTTCGTTAGCTCGAGCCCTAATGGAGATATTCAATTTTCTTTTTAGTCGGTTATTTCTGGGACACCTGATAGAACCTTGTTATTGTATTCGTGTTTATCGTAAATGATTAGAAATTGTCTTGAAATACTGTAATGTTCTCCTGATAAACATATCTCAAGTTATAATAGATAATAATGTACATAATGTAATTATAATGAAACCTATTTCATACTTTATAATGCGTTATCTTCGAAATAATGGGAAAATTGTCCAATAATACATTGTTTTTAATGAATTATTTGAAATTTTACCATTATTTCTCTGTAATGCATTATACTACATTAAAATTTAAGAATATAATGGAATCTAATTGATTAAAATTTCCCACGCTTTCATTACATTTTATTCCATTATACTTTTAAACTTTAATGAATTGTAATGCATTGCAGAGAAATATTGGTAAAATTTCAAATAATTCATTAAAAAACAATGTATTGTTGGAAAATCTTCCTATTATTTTGAAGATAATGCATTATAATGCAAATATGAATAGATTACATCATAATTACACTCTGTACATTGTTTATGAAAATAATGAAAAATAATGTCCATTATTTTACATTATCCGCTCTCACCGATAGAAGTATACAACTTGTAAGTTATATTAGTACCCAGGAGAATCATTCTGGCAGTAGGATCCTATCGAATTCCGACAAGGGCCAGACAGTGAATATGCCGAATACCATATGCGTTTCAATACAACCGACGAAATCTTATGGGTTTCCTGGACACGGACCTACAGTCGGATCCTATGTCGGATTTTAACGGAATCCAACTCTATCAAATCACCCTTGCACTCTGATGCCCAAGTCAAAAAATCTGACAGCAGATCGTACAAGGAGATCTTGCACATACAAGATTTTCTATTTGATCTTATCATAAGATCAGACCGTATCTTATTACATAACTTTTCGAAAGATTTCATCAGATTCTGAATGAAAGATACCCTCATAAATCTTACAAGATCCTAAACTTAAGAAACATACATGAACCGATCGGGTGATTCTTGTCAGACCCTATCAGCTCAAATAAGATTCCAAAGCAAAAGAAACATACAGTAGTACGTAATGCAGATCTCCTCTGGTCATGTATGATCATACCTGATCTGTCGTTGCCCTTTTCGTCTTCGAAAATTGATTCATCAAACTCTGTATTATGAAACAATGTGAGTAATAAATAGAATTATGCTTTATATATCAATTTTTGATATTATTGAAATACAGTATTGAGTTTTAGCTTAATAAATAACTGTTTTTACGACAGACCGTCAACAAGGCATTGCTGTATCTTTTAAATGTAGGCATATAAGCCAATTTTTCCTCTTCAAATATATTCAAGTAAGAAAAAATATGGATGTTGCATGCCTGTGTCCCATATAATTCTATTTTGTAGGCTTGCCTATATACTTCATGCCCCACAAATGACTTGGCTAGCGTCTCACCATATATAACAATCCAAAGAAATACCATCTCACACTGATGAAATCGAGCGTAGCGAGAAACACCAGTTATAAGCATTTACTTTTCGTTTCGGCTTTATCAAACTCAAATTGATTAGATGAGAATTTCACAAAAGAACAAATAAACTATTATAACGCATGCCCACATTCTTGTCCAATAGGACCCCAATACACATTCTGCTGCAGATCATTCCAATTCATTACTTTACCCCTCAAAATACATTTCAAAACACGCCTGCTTTCTTTCGAAATGATATTAATATAAAGTGCTGGATTTAATTCTAACACATTTTCTTTTTTGCTATAACTGAGCCATATTTATGGCTAGAGACTGATTTCTTCACCATTAGATGCATCTTCTTAAAAACTATTTACCTGAAGAAAGCTTCAAAATCACGTACGTTTTGAATAAACTACGAGGAAAACAATAATTTCGAAGAGAACATAATTATAGCACGCTTTTTAGTATTTCGCATTTTTTGACCAAGTGGTTTTGATTCAAAAATCGAAACAAATATCAATCGAGGTAGAATTGTACGTTTTACATTTTGAAAAACATTTTCATCTACGAACAAACGATTTGTTATAAAATCTGCATTAAAAATTCTTTTTTTCTGGATCACAGCTAAGAATGTGATTGCAAAATGATTTATGCAATCACTTTCAATATCGACTAGTACAAGACAATGAGCGTGAAAAACTAAACCGAACCGCATATTTTTATGTCCAAACAATTCTGTTGCAGCAAGGAATTTTAAGAATTTTTTTTCTGATGAGTCATCGGTTTTAGATTTCAACATTGTTTTCGGTGAAAACCGCCAGAAATTTTTCAAAAATACATCAGAATCGCAGAGAATTAAATGTTCTACAAGATGAGACCTTCCGTAATTCTTTACCACATCCACAAAATTCGGCGTGTTCGGAATACTCTCAGTACAGTGTATTGATTTAAATTACAATAAGTCACATGAGAAGAAAAGCGACATCTATCGATCAAACGTATTTTCCTTTTAACTTTCGAACGGTCGAGCTTAGATAGCTGAAAGAAGTCTCACATTGTAGAGAATTTAATTCCCTACCGCCCTCGTGTATGTTTGAAATTTATAAGGCGGTATTCAATAAAAACGAAAATGTTACAATCTATATAAAACCGATCACTTATCCCAAAGGAAAAGCTTTAGAATTCCTTGCCGCCACCAAACTCTTTGCACATAAAAATAAACGATTTGGTTCAGTTTTTCACGGTCTTTGTCATGCACTAGTAGGCATTGAGAGCGATTACATAAATCATTTTGCAATCACATTCTTCGCCGACAAGAACAAAAACAAAACTTTAATGGGAATCATAAAACAACAGTCTATGAATGGACAAAAACGGTTTTCTAAATGTGAGCATACATTTCTTCATCGGCTGATGTTTCTTTCACTGTTTTAAACTGAAATTGTTCAGAAAATAAATAGGAAATACTAAACAGTGTTTTCATATTATGCGCGCTGGGAAAAAACCGTTTAGCTCGTAAACAATCCAAAAGGCATGATATTTAAATGTTTTCAGGCTACATAGTCCATAATACGACCTATTTAATGGTGAAGGAATCAGGCATGAAGCAATGAAATGCCGTTGAGTTACAGAAAAAACAAAACTGTCTTAAAATTGATTCCCGCATATAACATACTTCAAAAAGTCGTTTTGTTTCTACTCTATGTTTCGACATATAGATAATTTCGTTTTCCTTTTGAGCCCTATTCACATTTCAAAATCGTTTTTCTTCTACTACCTCTCGTTACAGGTAGTAGAAATTCCGTTCCTAGTATATAGCTCACATAATTTTTAAAAAACGCTTTTATTATCATTTAAGAGATCTATGGAGGTTGAGGAGTATAGTTTTCTAGTTTTTTCTCTCTTTTTGAGAGCATTCTTTACGTTATAGATTGTTTTCCGAGCCTCTTCTTTTCCATTAAGTTAGGTGTTTCTCTTTTTTTCTTGATTTAGTCGGTAACGCTATGGTCCAGGTTTTTTGACTGTATAGTTCCTTCAAAAATAAACTCCTTCCTAGTAAAGTGGGGTTAACTTAATTCTTCATTGACATATAGAACCACGTAATCATTAATGGGACCGATTTTCGCAAGAAAACAACGGAATGCTTAATCTCCAATATTATCTATTCATATGAGATCTTATTGATGAATCATGCAAGATATTACCATAATTCCTGGTGTAAGATTTTAGAGACGGCGATTTTTCGTCGGATCTTACATGATCATATACGATAATGATGTACGATCCGATACGATCGAATAAGAATCTGTAACCGATCTTGCTGTCTGATTTCTCGCCCTGGGTAGGCGTCTCTCGTAGGATCTGATGTAGTCGAACAGTTCAGATCAGTTCTCAAGAGCTGCCCAGACAGTTCTAAGGATCTGAACTGATCGGCTCCAACAGTTCAGATCAGATCTTGAGAGTGTGGGTGGACCAAGCAACGAGAATCACTCACACCCACATCTAAAAAAATTATATTTTTATTATCTTTCGAGCTCACCAGGTGGATTTGAATTCAGTGATAATGAGCCAATTATAGGTACCAGTTTTAGGAGTGGAAAAGGTGGCGTAGTTTCTTCCAATTGAATCATATGAAGATCACCTTGATCAAGAGAACTGACTATTTTAAATTGTGTTGCGGCCATAAGAAGCACTTCATCTTCCGTTGGGAAAAACGAATGTTTACGGATATCTCTTGCTGATTTACATTGTAAGGTAAACATAGTTCTAGTACCACTTTTACCCAAGAATAGGTCTGATTGTAGTACACCCATAGATGTTGTGCACGATGAAAACCCCCACCACACAATTGTTTCTCCTTCGATATAGCGATTTTTTAGGTCTAATTTAACACCTCTGTATGCAGTCGTAGGAATCAGCGGAAGGCGAAACAATGCATTTAAAAAAAGTCTCAAATAAAGATACCAAAGTGGTAGTTTCTGTTGTCGATTTTTTGCGCGTAGTGTGTCATTTAAGACGACATAGAGACATGTGTCAAGAGGCTCCCATCCCATGGTGTACAGCATAATCGAAGCAGATTCATCTTGTGTTAAATTATCGGCAGGTTTCTTACATTTTAATTTAGCGGCGTATGCATGACTTTGAACATCAGGTAGAATCGGAACAAGTGGTTCGACAGCCTCTTCAAGTGAAACAAGGGGTACTTTCGAATAGCCGCCGATGGGTGGAAGAATTTCCAGTGACTCTTGTACAACGTCACTAAAACGTAATACACGTTGTACTGCTGCCTCTTCTCCTCCGCCTGCTGTGGCCATGATTATTAGAAAGAAAATACTTTACGATTATTAATATCTGAAACGTAAAACAAAGACACATTCATAGTGTTATTTTCTATAATGCTCATCTATTTTATCTCAATATAATAATTAACTTTTCACAATATTGAATTTTTTAATTCAATTTTATGTAAAATTGAAGAAGGGAGACAAAAATATGTTTCTATTTGTTGCTACAATATATTCTCATCGTTACTCAGTAAGCGAATATATTGAATATAGGGTAAACTCAGAGTCTATTTTTATGCTATGCCATTGAAATAAAAACATCGCTAATATTTTTGATTTTGAACTGACGTTTTGTAATGTGTGACGTTAGTACAGACCAGACAAGCCTTTAGCAACCTATGGCTGAAAATGTTCATTCAATAGAGAAAGTCTATTGGGTTCAAATTACGTTGATCCGAATCTGATCTAATCAAAGCTACATTATAAAGCCCCGTTAGTTTTTCAGAGAAAAAGAAATCGAAGTGTGAGTTTCTTTTAGCATGTTGAACAAGGCTGATTGACATACAAGAATAGTTACCAAACAAGGAGCAAAATTTTGTATATCATTGAATAAAATCGCAAGTCCGCCTACAAATTTATATAAAATAGTCCTTAATTTCTTCTTTCTTTCATCACGCTACTAATCATGTGTCTAGTGCAATAATAGAGAGATGGCTCAATCGTTCTAATGTTTTACTCACCACGAACCAAAATTCGAAATGAATAACGTATTTTTGTTATTATTAGAAAAAATTTTAACTACCGACATCGTGTGTCTATTTTTTTCTGATGATTTATTATCTGTATTTTACGATAGGATAACATTTATCTGCTTTGTTTGCTCTAGCTCCTTTTTTATGCTTCTCAAAACGCGTAAAAGTATAAATTATTTTAAAAAGAACTACATATAGAAACACTAAAATATTCAGTAAGTGGGTAGACTATGAGTGGTGACAAAGCAAAATAAATTCTTACATGTATAAAATTTATTTTTCTGTGATTTCAAGTGAAGAGTTTCTTTTCAAAATAATCGATGATGACTATAACAAGCAGACGAAACATTAAGCATCTGCTCGATCTTTCGATTATTCCCTCTACTGAAAGGAGGGTCTTACGAAAAGTGAGTTAAATGCGTTCGTTCGTTCGTCCAATAGGAAAGCAGATGCAGAACCTTAACTAACCTCTAACAATATCAGTAGGTGTAGGTTTGACCGAACGTAATCAGGGTCGGGAAACACGATGGCGTGGTCAGGTTTTTGAAATTTTGCTTTTTCCTTCTTTTAGGAGAGAGAGAAACTTTTTTTAGCAAAAAAAAATTAGTTTTTCTTGTAAGGGTTGACCGAAGGTAATTGGGGTCGGAGAACACGATGGCGTTGTCAGATTTTTGAAATTTTGCTATTTCCTTTTTTCAGGAGGGAGAGAGACTTTTTTAGAAAAAAACTAGTTTTTTGTAAGGGTCAACCGAAGGTGATCGAAGTGGCTGAACACGATGGCACTGTTGGTGTTTCGAAAGTGTGCTTTTTGCTTTTTTCACGGAGAGAGAGAGTTTTTAGGAAGGAACTAGCTTCCCGTAAGGGTTGACCGAAGGTAATCGGGGTCGAGAAACTCTAATCTGGTGTCAGATTTTCAGAATTTATGATCCTCAACTTTTTAATAAAAAAATTAATTTTTTCGAGCAAATAGTTTTCCGTGTAAAATTTGATCAGATGCTGTCGGGTTCGAGGGAGTCGAATCGGTGGTCAGATTTTTGAAGTTTCGATTTCTACCTTTTTTAGGGAGAGAAAGAAAGTTTTTTAGGAAAAAAATGACTTTGTTTAAAGTTTGACCGAAAGTTTTTGAGACGGAGTCATTCGATTTTAAGTGTAGTTTTTCAAAATCATTTTGTCATCGTTTTGATAAACAAAGAGGGTTGCACAGAGGTCTATTGCACAGAATGAACACATGAGCTTTTTGAAAAATTAAAATTAAGTGACCAGCAACTGACGAGTGAGTGGTATTTCGAATTCGAACATTCAGTCGATTGTCTTTGGCGATTCGCCTTTTGTGTATGATAACTATTTTTTGGCATATTTTTGTTCTGCATATTTTAATAAGGACAACTATCAAGAATGAAAGATGTGATTATTTTGATTTCTACTATACTTTAAATAGTATCTATTTTTTTATTTTTGTTTGTTTAATTCCATCAATAGCAATGTCTATATTTGGATATTTGGCCATTCGAAATGTAAGACAAATACACATACGTGTGCAACCAAGTACTATTGATACTACGACTGTTGTTATTCATCGTCAAGATCGAAATTTGTTGGCAATGTCAATAACCGAAGTATTAGTTTATGTTACAGCAATGAGTCTTTATCCGGCTATTATTTTCCAATTGGCATTGACTAATGTCATGGCTATTAGCAAAAGTCTTCAACAAAACAAATCGAAGTTTCATTCTATTTCTTACACAATTTCTTATCTATATTAATACTTCAGCACCATTTTATATCTACTTAGTTGCATCAAAAACGCTTCGTAATACATTCAAGAAGACTGCTATTAGATGTTGGCGATGGATTACAAGACAATAAGAAGTATGAGCAAGTGTTATGTGATAGAAATAAATAGCTTTCCTTTTAGATCTTGTCTCGTAAATGTTTTGTGTTACTAAGGAAAATGAAATTGTATCGATTCAATCGGTTGGCAAAATTCAAGTCTAAACGTGATTGACTAATTAATACTAATCTCTTCTTTAAATCTGTCATATTTTACTGACAACAGACATGAGAAATCAGTCGTTACTTCCACTTTATTTAATCTATGCAAAATCATATGATTTGAAGCAAAAATTAGGAGCACTTAATTTTATACGCTCATCACAATGACAATATTTTATCGCTAGAAGTTTTATATTCATTCGTTAAATCGAATCGTTATATATCTAATATCGAACCAAACTTGTAAGATATTCTATTAAAAAAATTATCGATCTTTGAGTTGAGTTTATTTGCAACTTTACTAATCTATCGTTTATTAACATCCATATATTCATTTGAATAAACATAAAAGTTTCACATATTTACACTTCACGATATATTGTATTACCTCTTTTATTTCTTGAAAGAGGGATGAAATTGTTTTTGCTTCTATAGGAATAGTCAGGTAAGTGATGGTTCGTGCCAAATTGAATTAGCGTAGTGTACTCTGAAGAAATGACAAGAAAGAAAATGAAGCGAGACTTTGAAATTACTGTGGTGATTTTAAATAGAAAGGATGCCTGTGCTGATGGTATTAAACTTTATTTAACTCTTCAAATCATAAATCGCATCGATTACATATAAAGCGCACGCTTAAATACTCAACCATTTGATAGAACGAATAAGAATGATAGATAAAGACAAGTATAAAAGACAGAAAGATAAAGGCAATAGGTGTGATAAGAATAAATGGCACCATAAGGCCAAATATTATGTATAGGTTAAACCCCCGGGTGGGATTAGGACGAGCTCCGCATATAACGTTACAATTACGTTGTATTTATTTAGAGAGGGAAGCTAGATATCAGAGACCACGAAAAAAAGAAATGTTAAGAAGCATTTTGGAATATATGATGATCTCAGAAAATTCTTCTTTTATAGAAGAAGTCTATTAAAAAATTAGAGGGTTCAAAAATATTTCATGACCTGAAAAGTCAATAGTTTCAACATTATGTTTCTTGCATTTTCCCTTTAAACTTTTCTTCAGTTGACTCAATGAATCACTATTCATAATTTTTATGTCTGTATTTCATCATACAACTACACAAACATTGTTTTTTTCCATCCTGGCAAATTTCCCTACTCACATGTTGCACAATTTTTTACCCCATATGAGTCTATATATACGATAGTAACATAGTTAAATGAAACTATACTTTACATTCGTAGATTATTCATCGCGTAACTCATGTCTACTGAAAGTCGAGTTCATTTTCAACTATTACCTGTGGAACTTCTTCATAAAATTTTTGATTGTCTCAAGGCAGAAACAATTGTTTTTTCCATGCGTCGTGTATGCAAACAGCTTTATTCTAGTGCTAATGCTTGTAATAGATATGAATTAGATTTTCGTTATATTTCAAAATCTGATCTACCTCTTCTGGCACATATTATTGATCCTAACGCTATTATTTCACTTATACTTTCAAAGACAGAAACAGAACGATCAATTCGATCATTGCTTAAACACTTTCGTACCGATTTTACTAAACTACAATCCTTGACTTTGTTTAACTTATACGACAGAGACTTGAAAGTAATTCAAAAGCGTATCATAAAATATCCGCTTAAAACATTCTCAATATTCAATGATTTATGTTATATTAGAAAAACTGAAGCATATATATCAAACATTCTATTGCATAAAGATCTTCGTAAAATCGAAGTCAAACTAGATTTCAATAGCATCGATATAATTGATTGGCCCATATCGTGTGGATTAGAACATGTGATAATTGATAACTGTAGCTCAACTACAGTTTACGTAATTCTTAATCGCTCACCTAATCTAGGGACTCTGGTTATATCAGATAATTACTTCGAAAATTCTAAAGAAACTATCACTAATGATAAACAGTTCAATAGTGTAATATCTCTCTCATTGGCCATTGGTGAGAATATAGCGATGGAAAATATTCGGTTATTACTTTCATGTTTACCGTGTCTAGCACATCTTCGATTGATTTCCAAAACATTGGGAAGATCTTATCACAGCAAAGGTTACTCTATTGAAGAAATTTCAATTCTCGTTCTTTGGTAATTTATCTGCTTATAACAAAACTGCCACTTCAAAATCAATGATTAACCCGTTTCAAACATTATTTTGGTTACAAACCAAACAGTGGATTGTAAAATATGAGGATGGGCTCAATGACCTGCATGGTTGGACATTTCATATTTCTTCGATCCCAATCTTTATAGATGAATTTTATTATCCTAGTCCACTGATTCGAGTTTTAAATTCTACGTTGAACACTGATGTTAGATGTGAAACGATCACCGTTAATACCTATCGATTAATTTTATATTTGAGTGAAATGATGAGTGAAAGTGCTCTAGAGCTGGTAAGTACTATTGTACGCGCTCAATACTGTGATAGTGAATCATAGATTAATTGTCCTATGAATTACTTGATTTGAGATCTTTTTTTGAGAAAAATTTAAAATAGAGAAGGGTTGAAGTACATGATTTTATAGAATTGTTCAGTTCGAGATTGAAAGCATTAAAACATAAGTCAATAATTTATTCACATGTGCACTAAGTACTGTTTCAGCGAAATCATTTTCATTCTATTTGGTTATATTGCCATGAAATTTTACAATCTAATAAAATCACATAGGTTTTAT